CCGAACACCTTGTAGAACAGTTCAGCTGGCCCCCGTCATGTCCACATGTGCCATATGAAGCTGAGTAGAACGCCGAAGCCTATTGGTAACAGAAATGTGGTTTGAAGTTTCTATGCTTCAGTGTAACAAACCCCTCCTGACGGATGACTTGCACCATGCAGTTTCCAAGGAAGACGAATCTCTTGTAGCTGGCTTAACGAGCTTGCTTCAAAACACCTGGAGTGAAGATAGAATGGTGCTCTTCGACAGTGATTGTAGTATTCAACCGGAATGCGATAACATCATACGAGAACCATCGAACCATCAACCTGGAAGTTGTTCAGTCTAGTTTTTCAGCTCATAAAACATGCGTCGAAATGCCATAATTCCAGCTGCTACATTTTCGTTCACCGATGATAAGGAGAATAAGGAAACGAGAGCCCGTTCAGTTGAATGACGTCAAATGGCTCCTTTTGTCTGATGGGGCTGGGTTTGAGAGCTATGCAGTGAAGGCGATAGCTTTGATGCAGAACCGCCATTGGCTGTGTGACAGCCATATCTGTCAGGGTCGCCAACCGTTGGTTTGTCCAACAGTTCCCATTCGGAAAAATCGCATTTGCGAACTTGTCTGGATTGACTGGCAAGGGATTTCATGCTTGGTTGCTATATCATGGGTTGACCGCCTCGGCCGTCCGCATCCCCCACAAGAGTTTGTGGAGAGGGCTTTCTCAGGTAGGCGCCACAAATGTCGGAGGATAGAAGACGCTCTCCTGGCCTTCCAATCCAGGAAGTGATCACTTCTTTCGCGAGTCCGCCGGGACTTGTGCGTCTGCTCAGGTAGACAAAATTACCTACTACATGGGTCGGGTTACTTGCAAGCATGAGATGTAGGTTTGATCCAACCCAGCAGCAGTTTGCACTTTACGAGTGCGAAGCGCGTACTGAGCCATGCTGCCTTAGCCGCAGCATCCAAGCAATGTTATCTTTCCTTGGTCTATCGGTTACTTTGTGCACAAGGTTTATTAAAATGGAGGTGGTTTCCCCTGGTCGAAGAGGATTTAGCCAGATATTTACTTTGGAACAAGTTTCTGACCTGCACCACTAGAAGACTTTTCCCTCTATCTGATGGCTGCTTCTGGTTCCGTCGATCGTCGGAAACTGGTGGTCTTTGGATGAATGACGTCTCTTCTAAATTTTTGTCTTGTGAGGGCATGCTACTCCAGCTTCCCTGGGCGCGTACGGGTATACAAAAGGCTTTCGCCTGGATTCATCACGTCCAGTGGTGCGAGAAAAGGCTAGCTTCTCACCATTCCCCTTCAGCTCTGGTACTACCGTGCTTCTGTACATTTCTCCGATACGTCTGGGGTCGATGTGCCCCTCTGGCGTTCTCTTACAAGCGTTCAGAAATACGATCCATTCATATAGCCTGAGTGCTTCTGCTGCACGATGTAGTATGCGCCTCACACTTAAGAAGTGAAAAATGATGTTGCGGGACTCTAGCCTTGCCCTTGCAAACCAGCCACTCGGTGTGGTAGATTTATTAACTTGTACAGCTGTTTAAGTCCCGGTGGACTGGCTGATGAAGATGTCACTTATTAAATCGAGGAGACTAGGGGAACTTTTATCAATTTTGGACATCCGGTGCCGGTTGGAAGTCAGTCCGTCTGTCAAAGATGATGGTACGGTCAATATTGTTTTGTGGATCATAAACGTGACCTTTGTATACAAAGGATATACGAGAAATTTTGATGTTTAGACATCAATGTTTGAAGCCGGGTCTGCTGGGAACATCAGATTAGCAATCATTTTAGGAAGAGGAAACTCTCCGCCTACTATGACACTACTCACGGTTCTTAGATTGCGCTTGCTAGAATATGTACTTATCATATCAGTGTACTGACTACCTCAGAACACTACCCAGCCATGTGATGGGCAATGACCGAGAGCTAGATAGTCCACGTCCTTGCAACGCATCGTGAAAGACTTAAGGATTGAACTCAGTCAAGTTAACAACTGTCATCTTCTGAAATAGGTCCCCGGAACTCGGCTCATTTTTAGTCATTATCACCCACAGATATGGGTTTTGTTCCACACTCAGTGCTTCCTCCGTATCGAAGATACCATCGTTGGTGCATATCTGCTGGCTAAAACGATTCGACGTCAAGTGGCTGATTGGGCCAACGCATGGCTGCGCTCTACATGCCCTCAAATTTTTAAGTAAAGGGAACTGTGGCTGTTGGGACCGACGTACCTTTGGCACATAATTCAAGGGTGGTTAACCGACCTAACTGGCCCAACATGTAGGCTCGAAGATGCTGAATGTGAACTTCGTAATTCGAACCCAACTTCGGCTTTTCGACTGCTCCTGTCCAACACTGGGAAGCTTGGTAATATATCAACCGTCTTGCTTCCTTCGTGTTGCACGGCAACCAAGCAGAGAGAGTGAGACAGCTGAGCGACTTTTGTTACTGTTGTTTAATATGCGAGTACGATTCGCATCAGCGAAGTTATTTAGAAGCAGTATTGTTCAGAAAGCATACACTGGAGGTTTCCGAGAAGTTTATTCATCCCGATGAGATGGTCCCTTCCTGCAAGAGGATACACCGACCACATTTCCATACTCCGTCATATTGTGGAACAGCAACACTGCTCCCACTAACCCACAATTGTGGTCTTTCTTGACCTGAGTTCTGCCTTTGATTCCGTGGACCGTCGGATACTATGACAGTGTCTGTGGAGCAAAGGTGATCCCCGTCAATTCTTGACCCTACTTAAGGAGCTGTACGCTTACGGGAGGCTCTCATCTGAGTTCACTACACCAAGCACGTCTGGCACGGCTGTCCTCTTTTGCCTTTTATTTTCAACGTCGTTGGTCGTACGATTACGGAGAACTCACTACCAGCCTCCGACGCTAGTGGGATCGAAATGCTCCCGGGGCAGTCGTTCACAGTTACCGAGTACGCAGATGATATAGCTATTATTAGATCCTACACTTTCGTAATGCAAACAATATGCAAAAATGTTTCTGCCCTGCGGTTTGACAGGCGCTTCACACCTGAATGTTGCAAAGTGGTGCGGCAAGATTAGGTGTGCTCAAACCCCAGCCTCACCTGCGGGTGAGCCGATTAAGGTAGTAGTTGTAGCAGTTATAGCATCAATCCCGGTCTCGTGAAGGATGATATTTTCATCCGGTTTGGGAAGGCTAGAGCAACGTTCGTTAGTGTGTCGCCTGTGGCGTAGGCGCGGAGTCAGTTTATCCGTCGAGGGTCGTGTTTACAATGTTGCGGTGCGCACCATATTGTTATGCGGGTCAGATACCTGGCGAGATGGCTCAGTGGTTGGAGCGCAGATTTACTGGCCGGAAGGTTCGTGGTTCGAACCCGACCTCTGCCTCTCGACTTCCCCTGTCTAGGCTTGGGCAACTTAGCAGTATTCCAGCCTTCATGCTTCCTTCGGGTGACATGACAACTAGGCACCGAAAGGGCGCTACAGATGAACGATTTTCAACCTGGCTGGTAAGCGCTGAGAATGTCGAAAGATTTACAGTGTTCAACCGTCGATGTCGTCGGAGCGTTGCTAGAGTGTGGTGGGAACACCGGGTCATTAATACTGAAGTAAATCGAATGGTTTTCGGAAGAAATAACTCGCCCAACGTCGATGAAAGCAGATCAATCTCCGTGGGCTGGGCTAGCTTAGTCACATGCTCCATATGCCAGTTTACTGACTTCCTCAAAGAGCCCTTTTCACACGACCACGCGAAGGGTGAAACTGGGCTAGAAGAGGTCAAACCATAAATTGGTTTTTACACAGTAGTTATAACGTTGGCCATTGCCGTCTCCCTGGATTAGGAACTCGAGACGGGACACATCAATGGTCAGATACACTGTAAGGCATGGCCCAGTCGCGCCCTCAATGCCGTCCATTCATCCATACTGTTAACTCCCCTACTCTTTGGAAAGTCCACTTCACTTCTCTATTTACGCATCAATTATATCAGTTGCCACCTGCAATGTGTTTACCTTCTCAAATCATCGGCGAACGAAATTGTCAGCCATAACCAACCAA